GTGATCTTCAGAAACAACCTGAAAGTCTCTCTTCTTATAAATTAGTTAACAGTTATCTGATTCTAACTTTTCAGTGCCCAGGGATTCAAATGTGGCTCTGACTGGACGAGAGTTGTGTTCAGGTAAGGTCAGATATAAGCAAGGTGCCTGATAAATCTTTCTGCAGCCAAAGTGAGCAATTCCTGATGCTTGGCTGCATTGGTCCCCACTTATAGCCAGGAAAACTGGGGTGGAGTTGCTGATTCACCCAGCGTTTCCTCTTGGTCAAGATACTGTTATCTCTAGATGTTGATCCAATGTCGTGAAACGCTCTGATTTCAGAGTGCTTTCACCTCTTAGTGCTGGCAGGTGGTAACACATAACTCTGAAAAGAGTAGTTAACGCCAAGTTTCTTGCTTAGGAAGTTGTGGGTGGAATGATGATGTGTGCTGAAAATTGCTGACTTGTTCTTTGCCTTCTGCACCTTGTTTGATCTCGTAGCCCTGACAGTAACTATGTGGCTGCTGGTTCAGCTGATGGGGCCCTCTACATTTGGAATGTGCTTACTGGGAAATTGGAGAGGACGCTTGCAAAGCATCACAGGTGAGGAAGGCGGGACATGCAATCCAAAGTGGGGATTGGGTTGTGAATCTCGCTGAGCGATGACAGAGTTATTGTTGTACAGCCTTGCAACTTACATTGGTGTGTGAGAATTCTTCATATGCAGATTCCTTATGGGTTCATGACAGTATTCTCCAGGTTGAATTAGGTTAGATTTGTTATTGTTACCTTCTTAAACTGAGATATGGTTCTAATAAAGTACATTCAATATATTTTGAAGAAACTGTACCTCTCTCAGGCTTATTAGAAGGCCAAGTCTCTTGAGAGCTGAGAAAGTGCTTTTTAATTGATGATCACAGTATTATAGTATTTCATTCCTGTGTTCAGTGTTGTGGAATTCAGCTTTCTTGTAAACTCACCCCTGGCTTCCGTTTCAGTTCTCCTATCAATGCAGTGGCGTGGTCGCCAGCGGGTGCCCACGTGGTCAGTGTGGACAAGGGCAACAAGGCTGTGCTGTGGGCTGAGTTCTGACTGCTGGAGGGTGCACGGCTCTGTGTGGTGCTGCTGCTCCGTGGCTGAACGGGAGGGACACCCGAGCCCAGATTCATCCTGAGTTGGGATATTGACAAGCACATGGGCTTCGCTTTCCAGAGGGAAGTTCCAGAGCAATGGAGAAAGGAGCCTGGGTCAGACTTCTTACGGCCGTCACTGCACTGTGGCACTTGGACTCGGCGAGGGATTAGCTGTTCTGGATGGAGAATGCTACTTAGTCATGCCTTTACATGCAGTATCTCTGCACCAAGTGGAGCAGAAGATACTAGCAGGATTCCTCACCAGACAGCTGTGCCAAATATCCTGTCACACAAATGTATCTACAGCACTTCTGAGGTGGAAACGTTGGGAAGGAGTTACTGTGTATGCTGACTTAAAACATGTCCTGTCTCCTGTGTTCTGTTCTCGTGGCCAAGTTCAGGTGTGGGGTGAGAAGATCCTGAAATGTGGACAGGTCCTGGGCGGTGTGAAGTGTTGGAACAACTTTGAAAGAGAGTCTCCTGTGGCTCTGGCAACTCTGCCTTGGAGTTTTACCAGCTCTGTTTGGATCTGCTCTGATCCTGGCACAGGCTCTCCAGCGCTGTCCTGCGAACTCCTTGTATCAGTTTCACTTGCTCCTGAGGTGATGGTCTGTTCTTTGGGACTTCTGCACCTGCGTGTTGAAATGCCCCTCAACAGCTTGGGCATCACAAAACAGAAGATTTTTAATCTTTTTATACCACAGGCAGTTTGGTTTCTGGGCGTGAGGAGAGAGGTTCGGCTCGTTGAACTCGTTGTGGAAGCTGTGCTGCTGTGCTGAGGAATGTAGTCACACTGTGACTTCAGTCCCAGAATGTACGTGTTCGGTCCCTTTTCCTGTTCATCCGTCCTGTCCTGGCGGCTGTCAGTAGAACACAGGGGAGCAGTGGGGTCAAATCCCAAATCCGTTGTTTGTTTTGGTGCTGGCAATTCCAGGCCATTTGCCCCTTCTCGAGCACACGTGCAATATTCCCACTCGCGCTGGAGCCCTCTGTGTTACGGAGCGGTGTCTTGGCTCTGTCCCTGTTCTGGCACCCCAACCCATGATGTGGCTGGGAGGGACCCACCTGGCATATCTTTATCCAGCCAAACCTTTCCACATCGTCTGGGCCTCAAGACAAGCCACCAGCGTTTTATTGCCTTTTTATTTGCACTTTATTTTCTTCTTTCCCGATAGTGTTTTACTGAGGAAGTGTGTTCTTCTCAGGGGCTGGGCTGGGGGCAGCTGCTCTGACAGGCTCCCTCTAACCCAGCCTTTTGTTCAGACACTTTCTGCAGAGGGGACTTAGAGTATATGGGGCAAAGTTTTTATTTATTCAGCTGCCCATAAGAACTTGATTGTAAATAAACCTGTGTTCTGCTTTTAAAACCCCACAGTGCTCTGATTGATTTATTTGTGTGTCTGTGTGTGTGAGATCTCACTGGGAATGAGCACAGAGGGGAACCTGAAGTGTCATTTTCCTGGTGAAGTGTGGGTTTGTGTTCAGCCACATTGTGGGATTTGGTCTGGAGGGGGAAAGAGGATAATGCTCCAAGCTTGGAGCTGGACATCCCACAGGTGCAACCTGGGCGTGCCCTGTCCCAGGAATACTGCCTTGAGACTGAAGGAAGTCTTGCCACACTGAACAAGTGCCTCTGTCCTTGAAAGGTTGATGTACTCTTGGATGTTTTGGATAAACTACTGAACAGAGGAAATCGGGATCTGTATTTCAAACACTGCTGAAAATAGGAGGCTTTTCCTGCCGTGAGACTTCAGCTGCTACCTTGTGAAGTTCTGAAGCCAGGAATAGGAGTTGCACGTTTCTTTAAAAACACCAAACCCCCTGTTGAAGATGGTGTTCTGGTTCCAGCTTCAGAGTAATGAAGCAAAGCCTTCAACTCTTCCATGTGTACATTTCATAACTAAGAGCCATTGCTCGTCACCCTCCTTTTGTCATAAGAAGCTTCTGTCCAGCTCATGGAAGTGAGAACCGTAGTAAAAATGAAAAGTTGGTATTCTGAACCATTTCTAAAGGCAAGGTGTTTTTTCTTCTGCCTGTTGCAGTGGCAGGCAGTCCTTGGAAAGGCACCTGCCACGAGTCTGGGTGACCTTGGTTACTGTGGAAAAGCAGATCCCTAAATGGCAAGTCAGCATGATGAAAGATTAGTGGGAGATTAACGTAATCAAAACTGCAGGCTCTGCTCAGGAGGATCAGAATGGGTTTAGGATGTTTATAATTTAGGCTGCCACACTTGTGTTTTATTACAGCATGGACACAGATCTTGCACAAAGGGCTTTATTTGGCCCCTTGATGCTGTTATGAAGCAGGTTAATAATGCTGAAGGGTAATGGCCAGCTAGCTAAGACCTTAAGCATTTTAGATTAAAGTTCCTTAGCAGCAAGGTATGCAGGAAATTCTAGTGAGCAATTTTAGCTTTTTTTTTCCCTGTATTTTGATTATTTCTGTTGCCTCCTGTTCTGCTTCAGCCTGAAAGGGAGGAAGAGCCAAGGAAGGGACCTGTGGTGCAGAAGGGGTTGTTGCAGTTTCATTTCTAAAGGTGGAGCTGCCCTTCAAGTGGTTTTGGGGGTGGGCTGGGCATCTTTCCCTGGATGGAAGGGTTATGGAGGAGCTGTTTCCAAGGTCCTCTGAGAATGTTTGCAATGGCACATGTACCAACAGGAATGCTCATCCTCCCCTGGAGGACTAATGACCCTGCAGTGGCTGCAGCACAAACTTGCACAAAACCAGCACTCTCCCTTTTGCTTTTGCAAAGTGTGACTGAATAGAAGTTGTTAATTTGCTGAGCTGATTTCTGGAGTTTCTTCCCTACTTCCCACAGTCAGGACCTGGCTTTCCTTCTGCAGCACTGGCACGTGCAAATTTCTGTGTTTTAAGCCTGGCTGGCTTGTGTCTGCTGGAGTTGAATAGACAGAGTAGTGATTAAGCTCTCCAAATAATCCACCTCCAGTTAATAAAATGTTGTTGGAATTTGGAAAACTCTGAACGAGCTGAGGAACACTGGTTCTGTGGTTTGTTTTTTGGAAATAATTTGTGTAACCTGGCCACCATATTCAGGCAGATGTTGGTGATGGTTTGTGAAAAGCAAGCCTGATTTGTGACTGCAAGGTTGCCTGAGCTGGAGGGGCTCTTGGGCTGGCAAGTTGAGAAGATATCATGTGATCCCCGGAATCAAAGGAACACGTGCAGCCAGAGGAAAGCTACAGCTGTTCCTGCAGCTTGCAAGCCAAAAATTACACATACTGTAGAGCAAAATATCAAGGCCAAATTCACTGGTGGGGGGTAAAGCTACTCTTGGAAGATTTATGAACAGAAAAGCTAAAGTTAATTGAAATATCTGTTTCTTAAATCCTAGATGATGTGCCTCTCTAAGTAAATTAAGGGACTAGCCAGCAACAGTGTTTTGCATCACATGCCAGTGGGATGTTGGTGAAACAATAATAGATCCATTGCTCAGTGATTGTGAGAATAACACATTGTTCTCAGTGTTTGATGGTCCATCAAAATGGCATTTTAGTCTTTTCCAAACTCCTTTTCTCATAAATGGCTTTTGTCCGTTCAGCTCCTTACCAGGCTGGAAGTCTTGGAACCCCAGGGAGGAGGAGATGGAGCATTAGAGTAAATAAAGCTGCTTTTGGTAACTGTCCTGTGCTATGTAAGTGTGCAGTGTTTACAAAGCATGTGAGTAGGACGCTGTAGACCTCTTCCCTGACTGTCTGAGTGTCCTTAGGTAATGCCTTACGTTGCTGACTTAACCACTTCCCGGTTGACCCTTAGCCCAAGTACAATATTTGCTCTTGGAGGGGGATTAATTCTTGAAATCCTGGATGGACGCAGCTAGAGATGAGCTTTCAAATCCCCTACAAATTGTCTTCCTTGTTTGTGAAGAGGTCAGTGATTCCCTCTGGTAGAGGCAAAGAAGAACAGGACACGACTGCCTGGGAAAGTCATCTTTCCTTAGGAGTTTAGGAGTCCCCATCGTTGTCTGTGGAAGCTCCTGTGTCATTGGGAACACAGCAAGGTATTTAATGTTATTTGCTTGTTTGTTTATTTGAGTACAGCATGAGTAGCACATCTAGTCAGCAACATATACTGGTCTGGACATGGAAAACCTACTTCATAAAACAGAAATTCTCAAATGTGTACAGTCTTTTTATAACCTCTGCCGTACATTTTTTTTCAGCTTTCCAAGAAGCAAACTATTTCCTTTTTTTTTATGGTTTGTTGTCTGCAAATAGGCCCTAGAAACTGTTTCATTCTTGAAGCAGTTTTAAAATGGGAGAGCAAGCAGGGAAATAGAAAGGGAGCAAATGGTGAGGACAGTCCTACACCAGCAGGCCGGGGGTGTGTCTAACAGTGTCTAACCCCTCACTCCGGTGTGATGGGGAGAAGTGTAAGGACAGGGCAGTGCAGCATCGTCCTTTCCTGGTGCTGCTCCTCAACTTCAGCATCTTACAGGGGTAAGGTTGCACCTGAATCACCCTGTCCAACGGCTGCCAAAAGCCTGTTCCCTGTGAATGTGTCTAGTCCTATGATCCAACTCATACTGGTGATTTCCAGAGCCGCCTTGAATCTTCTGTTAACTGGGGAAGAGCTCCACCTTCTTTTGAATTTGCTGTCTGATCATTAACTGGATGCTATTTTATGACATAACAAAATGAAAAACTAATCTCTCTGCTTTGTACCACTTAGGTTTTCTGGACTTCTCACTCTGGATATCTCTTGTGCCTTTGTGGTCTCCCGTTTCTCTTCTGTTTTTTTCTCCCCTTCTCTTTTTTTTTTTTTTTTTTACCCCTTCCCTTCCCCCCTGCCTTTTTTTCTCCTCCTGAAGAATTTTATTTCATCTGTTGTTGTCCTTTGGGTGCAAGCTGTTCCCTACCCCTGATTATAACTGTTGCCTGTCTGGGCAGGTAGCTGGACTGTTCTATTCTTAAAGTCCATTCTGGTTTGAGTTCAGTGATGGGTTGCATTGGGTTGAGAAAAATGCAGTAGGGCAGATGTGTTCTCATTTTGGGTTCAGTCTGACCCCTTATCAACACAAACCACCTTTGTAGCTCCTAGACTGAGCCTTAGCCAACATTTGGGTATGTGTGGAGCTCTGAAATGGCAAACTATATGTAGGAGTACAGTGCTTTACCCACCAAGTATGATTCTGCTTTTGTCTCATCCACCTGTTTTCCCCAGGCATCTTTCCCAGGACATTTTGGGGCAGAAAACCTTCATTCACCCACAGTCACATCCCCATCTTTAACTGTCAGCTGCCCTGAGGCTCAAAAGCCAGGGATGGATGGGAAGAATGCTGGTTCTCCACAAAAACAAGTTATCTTCAAAAAAAGCACCCGTGACAAAGCTGTGAGTACTGTAAGAAGGGGTTTATTTACGTATGAGTTTCACCTGTAGTGAGACTGGAGACTAAATAGAAAACTCTTTCCTGTCGCCTTCATTTTTTCCTGAAGAAGAACCATGAACCGTAATTAGCACTAAGTTTGAGGAGATGATGTAAACAATTCTTAGGGCAAACTTCTAATGTTATAATAATACAAGAGGAAGGCAGCTCACCTCACCCCCCTCCTGGGTTGTACTCCTGCTGGTAGATGTTTAAAACATCTTTCCAACCTGATGGCACCAGAAATCTTTGAATCTACAGTTCTTGGTCCCGTGCACAAGTATTTGTGTTGTACTTTTGGGAGTTGGTCTAGATCAGGTCTTCAGTTCTGATGTCCGGAAGCATGTGGATAATCCTGGTGAGTCCAGGTGGATAATCCTATGGGGATTGCATGTTTGCTGGAAAAAAATAATTACTCCATTTAAAATGGAGTTGTCCTGATCTCTGCAAGATTTACAGCTCTCTGATGCGCGTGTGTCCCCCTTCCCTCAACACACAATCACAAACATTTGTAGTTCATCTGTCATCTCCTCCCCACAGCTGACAATCTACCTGGGAAAGCGGGACTTCATTGACAACATTGGGAACGTGGAACCTGTGGGTAAGTCCCCAGGGAAACGTGCTGCCCTTCCTGCTCTCTCAGCCCTGATTAGCCTCTGTTAATCGTTATTTTTTAACTTCCTTTCAGATGGTGTTGTATTGGTGGATCCTGCTCTTATCAAGGGGAAAAAAGGTTTGAGGTTTTATGCAATGTGTGTTTCAGAAATTGTTATCTTGTGAGGTGAGATTGCTGAGATAGAACCTTTTTATTGTTCTGAGGGTACAAATGGGTTTCCTGCTCAACGTAACGTAAGTTGTTACGTGTGGTGTGAATACTCACTGGGTTATGCAAGTGTTGAGATGAGTTTCCACGTCTCTAGTGCAGGAGCATTCCAGGTCCCACCCTGGCTGCACTGTGTTGCCGTGGAATTTTAGTGCTGAAAAAATCTCCAGAGCAGTTAATTAGGGGTGAGACAAGAAAGGGTTTATTTTGCCAAGGCTAAGATGTTACAAGACACGTGCTGGCAGTGCCTGAGAGGTTACATTTTATAATACCATCCATCCAATCCCAGATGTGTCCACCTGTGGCCTTTACTCTGGTCTGCCCCGGGGTCCACCCCCTGAGAAATGGGTCTGGGGGTTTTGGGACCCTGTGTTCATCCCCCCTTCCTCTTCATCAGAGCACAAAGGGTACATAGTTACCTAATTCTTGACCGTATTCTGTGGTTTAGGCCCTGATATGCTGTTCTGCCAACAATTTAGGCCTTGCCTTGACAAAAGACTAAACATCTCTGCTGTATTCAGGAGTAGGATTGATATGGGGAGCATAGAATGGGGTAAGAGGGTTAAGGAATGTATAAACAAGGGTGCTAGAGAAAGGGAAAGGGACAAGGGACAAAGGGGGGGGGGTTGCTGCTTTTAAAATCTACTTCCACTACTTATAAAACTTACAAGTCTTACAAATACTAGAAAATTAAAAAACATTAGGGGCTTAAGGCATCAACTGTTACCCTGCTGCGGGCCTGACTTGTCCTGTGCTTGTCCCCAGTGTACGTGTCCCTCACCTGTGCTTTCCGGTACGGCCAGGAGGACATCGATGTGATGGGCCTCACCTTCCGACGGGACCTGTTCTTCTCCAGGCTCCAAGTGTTCCCTCCTGCTGACAAGCCAGAGCCTCTTACTCACTTGCAGGAATCTCTGCTAAAGAAGCTGGGGAAAAATGCTTATCCCTTTTTCTTTACAGTGAGTATCTCAGAATAGCCTCTGACTCTTCTCCTTGTCTGTTCTTACCAGGCTGTCGAGGCCCAGTGATGGACTGAAAGTGGGAATTAATGGTGAATTCACATTCTGCAAATTCCAGTTTTGAATGACAGGAGGTGTACAAATGTTTGTTTTTTTTTTCTTCTTGCCATCCTAAGAAGTAAAGTGCAAGATGATCCTAACTGCACAATGATCACTGCACTGGGAAAAGTGCTTTCTTTGAAATGGCAAGGGAATATGCAATGGCTTTGTGCTGGCAACAGCCCCACATACCTACGCCTTCCCATTCCTGAGGGGCTGGAATACTTTATACCATTGCCTCAGCACCAAATCCTTTTGCTTTAAAACCCTTATGGATCAAATAAGCAGATGAAAAGCTCTTTAGCAGATGCTGTCAACAAATAGCAGCTCCCTGCCAAACTGATTCTGACAGGATATGCTTCCAGTACTGTCGGTGACATGTCTGCCTCAGCATTCCCTGGGAGGATCCAGGTTGTGCCTAGGCTTTTTTTACTTTTTTTCCCCCCCTATCTGGACTGTTAAAGTATTTTTGGAAGAGAGGGACTTGTCACACAAGGCAAGTGTACCAGCCAGAATTCCAAAGGGTTACTGCGTGACAGGGATTGACCCATTGTCTACGGAATTGCTTTTGTGAGGAATAAATTACCTAGAATATCTGTGTAATATTGCTTTGGGGTATTTTCTCTTCTTCCTCCCACAGTTTCCAGATTACCTGCCTTGCTCAGTCTGTCTGCAGCCTGCACCTCGTGATGTTGATAAGGTGAGACCAACGGGACACTTCTGCTTATCATGGCTGGGGAAAGTCCGATGGAAAAAAGTCACATGAATATATTTGTCCAGCTTGAGAGTAGGAGAAGGTGATGCTGGATTTTACTGTGCTGTGCCACAAATGTCAGGAACCTGACTTAAGGGCTACAAGTGTATGTCACAGAGTTGGAATCGAAGTCCTCAGAATAAGAAAGGGAATCCAGACAAACAGCAGCAAGACTACAAAAATGTGCAATGCTGTAGCTTCCTTAAGATTACCACGATTTGTTGGTTGGTTGCACATAAAATGGTTGTAGCTGTGAGGCTACATGAAAGGAAAGGAGACAGAGTGCCTAAATTAGATTAATATATATTGCTATAAATAATACGTGTTAAGACCTGCTCTGAATTAAATGCAGAAAAGGGCTGGTTTGTGCATGTGTGTAAACAAACCAAAGGCCTGGAGTAAAAGTCATTAAATAATGAGATGTTCTGCAAGGTTTCTGATACCATTTAAAATATTCTTTTTATACTTCACTGGATGCTTCTCTGAACAGCAGAACAGGCAAGGTGCAGAATCCAGTGCAACAAGGATAAGCTGTGTTTTATGTCAGGGAATGATATTCTAGCAAAAATTTCTCTGTAGAGAGTTACTTGGGACTCACACAGATGTCCCATGATACTATAAACCTGTTAAAGCAAAGGTCAGCTGGACCTGATCACTCCCACTCCTTAGATGCTGGGAAAGAAGGTGTTGGCATTACAAAGCCAATTCAGAAATTCAGTTCAGAAATCCAAGGTGGGCTGGAGAGCCCTGCACACTGATCAGTCTTATGCTGTGACCTCTACAGCACTGCTCTCACAGAAAGCCTTTCAGGAGGCTGGGAATTAGGCCTCATTTACCAGAAGCATCATGGAACAGGTAGATTCTGCCACCCAGGTTGGCAGGGCTCTCTCTTACAGCGGTAGGAGGGCAGAAGAATTTGCAGCTGGCAGGAATCTGCCAATTTCTGGTGTGCAGAAAGATGTTGAAGCATGTGCAGATGCTCCTGGCTTCTGACCCTCATCTCACAGCTGTCCTCTCTCTCTCTGGCAGACCTGCGGGGTGGACTTTGAGGTAAAAGCTTTCTCAACAGAGAATGTGGAAGAGAGAATTCATAAGAGGTAACAGAATGTATGTGTCTGTCTTCAGCTTTGCCCCTTAAAGGGGGTGGGTGCTCCAGTGATGCCCCTCGGTTGCTTGTTCAGCTGTGCCCCACTTGTCAGTGGACTTCTTGGGGGTAAACACGTGTGAGTGCAGAACTCCTGCCTCTGCCAAGCACAAGGTACCACCACGTTTTCCTCTGCTGCTTCCCAGGAACTCTGCTCGTCTGCTGATCCGCAAGGTGCAGTACGCTCCAGAGGAGCCGGGACCCCAGCCCTGTGCAGAGACCACCTGGCAGTTCTTCATGTCCAGCAAGCCCCTCCAGCTGAAAGCTTGCCTCAGCAAAGAGGTGAGGGAGACACTTGCTCCAGGGCTGTGGACAGCCCAGGATTGGCAGGCCAGTGTGCATTTTGCTGCCCAAAGCAGCTACTTCATGTGTTGCTGTCTCAGCTCAGACTGACTTGTCCCACCACTCAAGGGCTATAGGGAATGTAATTCCTGTCAGCAGCTGCTGTTAGGGGAGGCTGAAACCCTGTTACCAGACACATTTGAGGCTAAAAAAGTCATTGAAAGAAGGGTCATGAAGCATTGGGAAGGGTCATCTTCCCTTATTCAGCTTCTGTGAGATGTAATCTGGGGGAACTAGAGGGGATTAGGGCTTGGGAGAAGTGTCCTGGCTGGACTTCTGAGCATCAAATTCCTTCCAGGTGTACTACCATGGCGAGCCCATTCCAGTCACTGTCACCATCAACAACAGCACGGAGAAAACAGTGAAGAAGATCAAAGTCCAGGGTATGTTTTGACTGTTGTTTAGGATTCTTTGAGCGGAATAGGACTGAAAGAGAGCCAAAATTTAGTGCTTGCAACAGCTTAAGAAAGTGATTAGGGAGTACAGAATTTGTCCCTCCACCCTGTCTGTTGCTGTTCCTTTGCTGTTCATCAAGTGAAACATTGCAGCTTTTTTCCTGACTCTTGTGGTTAGTTCTAAGTCTTAATTTGAGGCACCAGATTGTTCCATCTAGTAAAGAGAGAGGGTCTGGCACCTGCAGTGGGCAAGCAAGGCAGGTGCTGTGGGGGAAAATCCACCCCTTTTCAGGGAGGGCAGTGGGAAGGGCTCCCTGTCAGTGTGATGCTCCTGCTAACTGTGAATGTGCCTTGCTCCCATACAGCTCTGCCTGGTGTTCCAGAAACAAGGCAATGAGAGGAACAGCTCCTCTGCCAGCGATGCTGTGATTCCTGAGGAGCTGAGGGCAGGGGCTGAGCTCAGCACTGTGCCTGGGTTTTATTTGTGGCACTACATGTTCTCATGCCACAAGCTGCAGAGCTGAGGAAGATGGTCTGAGAGACAAGAGATGAGAAAGAGAACAGAAGGCAGGGAAGGAACAAAATGGCTGAGGTTCCTACAAAACTCTACAGCAGAAAAAGCCATTTCAGTGCCCATCTTGGATGCACTGTTTAGCGATTCCCAAATATTTTTAGTCTGATATGCCTCTATTAGGCTTTAAAAGACCTTGTTGGTCCCCAGATTCTCTCCTCATCAGTGTTTCAGTCAGAATTACCTTGGGGGGGGTTGTGTTAGATTGGAGAATATAAGCCATTTGTTATCACAGGCTCTTGACTGCAGTCTGTGTGATGATGGTGTCTCCTGAATGCAAATGCACGTGCTGTAGGCACACAAGAGATACCAGGACCAGAGATAAAAGCAGACATGGTTAGAGAAGGAAGAGGTAGGTCTTTATAATGGAAAGAGAAGGCTCCCAAGGGAAACCATGGGTAATTGAGTTTCTGTTGTCTCCAAGGTGGGTGCCTTTCATGGGAGATCGGCCCTGGCCGTTGGTGTGCTGTTGGTCTCTGTCCAGGTCAGGCTGTCAGACCTGGTGGTCCTTTCAGGCTCCAGATGGATGGGTTTTCCTGCTGTCCTTGTCATGGTTCCCATTCCTGAGACTCAGGGCAGGGGCAGCTGTGTTGCTTCTGGTGCACACACACGACTGATGTTCGCTTTCTCCTTCCTCCCTCAGTGGAGCAGGTTGCCAATGTGGTGCTGTACTCCAGTGACTACTATACCAAAGTGGTGGCTGCTGAGGAAGCACAGTGAGTGAATGCTCTGCTTCTCCCTTCCTGCTCCTTTGCACCCTTTTAATGACCCTCCTTGTGAGTAATGGGGGGTTCTCCTAATTACAGCCTGTCGTTGCAGTGCTCTCTCCTCTCTTCCCTCATGTGTGTGCCACATCCATGCTCTGTAGATGCAGCTGGTCTCTTTTTCAGAGAGCCAGCAGGGACCTTGCACAATGTTTCAGGGAATGGGGAGGTTGCAGAAGAGGTTTGAAGAGTAATTGCTTACTAGACAAGCTTAGCAGGGGCTGTGGAAGGTTCCCTGTTGCTGGAAATCTTTAAATAGAGGTGCAGCACTTTTCTGAAAGGTGCTGCTCTTTGAGTGGCAGTCATGGATACTCTAGCTTGAGGCCAGTCTTTTCCACACCATTTCATTTGGTTCTTTTTGGCCTGAGAAAGTCCATGAAAACCTGGAGCCTGTTGGCATTATGGAGAACCACTTGCTTTTTTCCACTGCCCTGGCAGGGCAGCACTGAACTTCACTTTGTGAGGAGGGCTGGGCATACCCAGATACTTTACACTTGTCTGGTGTTTTGCTCTGTAACTTAGGGACATGTTTTCCACTGAGTATTGGTCTTAGCTAGGATTCATTTTGTCCAAATTTGGAGGTCTGCAGCATAGAGGAAATGGCCTCAAGTTGTGCCAGGGGAGGTGTAGATGGGATATTAGAAAAAATGGATGTGGCACTTGGGGACATGGTTTGGTGGTGGCCATGGCAGTGCTGGGTTAACAGTTGGACTCCATGATCCTAAAGGTCTTTTCCAAACTAAACTCATGTATGATTCTATAGTTTTGACCTACTCTTCTGCCTTAATGTGAAATCAAGCATTTCCTGTAAGTGCCTGTTCTTCTTTGCTGATTATAAAGGGAATTTTACTGACTAGATGAGATGCAGACATATGCATTGCAGGCAACTAAATTGGGTTAAATTCCTCTCCTTTTGGGCAGCTTTGTAATTTCTGTTTTGCAGTTCTCTTGGTTGGGTATGTAACACAAATCAGAGTGTATCATTTCCCTTATTATTTTCAGGGAAAAGGTGCAGCCCAACAGCAGCCTGACCAAGACACTGACACTTTTGCCCTTGCTTGCAAATAACCGGGAGACGCGGGAAATAGCTCTGGATGGAAAACTAAAGGATGAGGACACCAACTTGGCTTCTAGTACTATGTGAGTGGAGTTTTAAATGGTCCCAGGCAGTGGGTGAGTTATAAAGCAGAGGGGAGGATGGAGGAGACCCTTCTGTCAGGACTTTGTAACTGTTTGTCCAGGTGTGAGCAGCATTACTGACGCTGTCACACTCACTCAGGGTATGTGGTCACAGCTCTGCAGAGCTGGTGCCTGTCCCTGAGGCTTGTCTGCTCTACCACGTTCAGGATGTTCCCCTAGTTCTTGCTCCAGGTGTGTGTTGTGCCGTGTTGCTGTGCCACCTCACGCTGCTGTTTTCTCTGGCAGCATTAAGGATGGAATAGACAAGACAGTGATGGGGATCCTGGTTTCCTACAAGGTCAAAGTGAAGCTCACTGTGCCAGGGTAAGTGTGACACCCTTTCTGCTGTACCTGCCTAGAGTTAAGAGAGGGGAGTGTGTGTCCATCAGTGAGGGTGGGGAGGGAGCAGGACAGTCCACCCCAAGAGAAAGGGCACATGTTGTAGGATGTGAGGCTCCTCCTAAAGCATAAATTTCCTGGAAATCAATCTTGGCCTGTCCAAAGAACTTGACCTGAACCAGAGGGTTTGGATTGCCATCTGTAGGCACCACATGACTGTATGGCTCAAGCAGGAACCTCTGGTTTGCATTGCAACATTTTGTTTCAAAGCCATAACCTGTTTTGTGAGAACTTAAGTGAAACTTTGTGTGAGCCTTTATGTTGGCGTTGTTCTTTCAGACCAGGAGGTGAAAACATCTGCCTGAAAGTCATAAATAATGTAGCTCAGGTTCTGTACTAAGCCAGCTTTCTGGGAAAAGCTGATGTTATCAACATGAGCTAGTTCCAGGATATAGTGCAAAAGAGGACAAGGATAATAACTCTCAGTTGATGTTAGCCACTGTTTACATTTGTATTTCATTCATCTGTCCTTCTTTCTAGCATAAAAATGAATCAGTGATTTGCCTAAAGCCCAATAAAATGCCTGCTGCCTTCTGTGGACCTCCAATTGCTCTTTTGGCTCTTGGAAAAGGGGCCATGCCCAACACTTGGTCAGGAGTTCAAAAACTTAGGCTCTTTCTCCGTGGGAATGACATGAAAAATGAAGATTATTTTTTTAAAAGCAGGTTTATTTGGATTTTATGCTTTGTGGCAAGCAGAGAACAGTATATGAGGACAGTAAATAAATAATAAAACAGCATTTGGTAGAGCACCAGAATGGAAAGCCATTAAATATTCTTTGTTTTTCTCCTTGTTTTCTTTTGTAGCATGCTGGGAGACCTCACCTCCAGGTAAACGTCATCTTCCTTTTCAGACCATGCAGTGCTAGTTGTTAATTCATCTTTTTACCCTCTTTCCTATTCCCATTCCCACCTCCCTAAAAAAAATAACTGTCCCTTAAGCTGATAGAAGCAAGAAGTTTGTGCATTCAGCTGTGAAAATGAAGCAATTACAAAGATATCTTTGATTTTATGTCCATGCAAATAAACCCAGTTCACGAACATGGATATGCCTGGGGTATTTGTGGAGAAATTGGAGTTTAACTCCTCTTTGAGGGGAAAATTATGATTAGAAAATATGAAGGAATGGGTGAAGGTGGAGCTGGGGGCTCGGGCTGGCCTGAACTGGGAAGAGGTCTGGACCAGGCATGAATGGAGCTGTGGGTCTGATGCAGTCTCTCTTCTCCCTCAAGTGAAGTGGGCACAGAGCTGCCCTTCCGTCTCATGCACCCCAAACCTGAGGAAAGGAGCCCAGCAGGTCAGTGACACTTGAGTTTTGCCTTTGTTCCTTAACAGACTCCAGTTAGATCTCACCAGGGTAAGGCTTAGAGGGATTTGTGCTTCAGGAAGCCTTTAGAGCCCACAAGGCTCCAATATGGAGCTGCTCTATGTGTGTGTATGTGTGTATATGTATCTATCTATCTATCTATCTATCTATCTATCTAATCTATCTAATCTATCTATCTATCTATCTATCTATCTATCAACCTCAAGGCACAAAATAACAGGCAGGAGGGATGCTAAGATGGGAGAAAATGGAAATGAGTCATGTTCCCTTTTCATCTGTGGAATCACAGCTCAAAGGACAGGGGCTTGAGGAAGCACTGCACAGTTAAATCTCATGACTACAGAGTAAAATGTCCCAAATGAAGCTGTCAGCAATTCCCAGCCACATTCCAGGATAAGGAAAAAAAAACCATCAGAAAATACCTAACACACATGAGCATTGTAAAAAGCAAAATACTTTTAAGCAAAGTTAAGAGGTGGTAAAACTATTGATGATTTTGGAGACCCTGTTATCCTGATGTGGCATTGGCCATGGTGTTTATGATGTGGCCTTTATGTTCAGTGAATAGCCAAGAGGAATGTCTCCTCAGCATCAGATCTGTGCAGGGAAGTGTGGGAACTCTAGAGCAGTGTAAGGAGTAAGCCTTCTCCAGGCATCTTGAGGCTTGGGATCAGATGCCAAAACCACAGGCTGTCAGGAGCATCTGTGTTCTCCTCCCACTTCCTCAGGCTCTGGCTGGCTCTGTTCTCCAGTGGTGAACGCCAGAGACAAGGTAGTCACACGAAATCAGAGGCTCCTGTCCAGCTCTGAAGCAGCTCCTGAACACAAACACAGCAGCCTTTCTGTGCTGGGGCTGTTACAGCTGAACCATCTTTGCCTGCCCCTGTGGTTGGACAGAGCTGGGGGGCTTCAAACAAAAACCCCATGGCTGCTTCAGTGTTGCTTTTTCTTTTCTTTTTTTCTCTTTGGACCCAAATGTACCTAAAGCTGCTGTTTCTAAGAATGTGACCACAGGAAGGTGGTGGCAGAACCTGTGAGAAGAGTTACCCTGAGATAGATGCTCTGTTCTGTACCAGCAGCATTAGAAACATTGAGTCCCTGCTGTGAAATTGTTGCAGGAATCAAGTGTAAGCGATGAGCAGAGATGCTGGTGATCCACTCTGTGCTCTGGGAATCGGGGTTTGCTAATTATGGATGTGCTAGAGTGGGCAAAGGTAGGTTTTATTGCTCCTGTAAGAATTGCACTCCAGGAAACTCTCATTTTCACTGGGAAAGCCCCTGCTGTGAGCTGTGCCAGCACAGCCCCTGAGCACAGACAGAGCATGGTGAGGGGCTGGGATGGCACTGGTGGCCCCAGGAGCAGTGGCTGGTGAGGGCCTGTGGGCAGCTCAGGATGCAAAATCCAGAGCTTTCATGGACACCAAGGGAAGCTTGAAAACTTCTAAGGAGGCTCATCCAAAGGCATAGGCAACTGTAAAGAATTTTACATTTTTAAAACAGTGAGAATATTTTTGCGTGAGTTTTTTTTCTGGTGTTAACAATGCCACAACCCCCTTTTTATTACTTTATAATTGTGGGAGAAGCATTTGTAGTATGAGGAAAAATGGAAGTCGGGCAGTTTTCCCTTCTAAGATCAATTCAAAGGAGGGCTGATGTACTCCTTTATAAAGGACACTCAAAAGGATGTGGGCAGAAGACTTTGGAGGGGAAATGGAGAACTGTAATATTTCTCAGATCGCTTCCCCCAGCACATCCTCTTACCAGGGGCACGGCCCATGTATTGTTTGCTACATCAAAGTCTTGCAGGGGCTTGCTGTCAGAAGACAGCTATGGTCCATGCATTCTGTACACATGGAAACTGCAGCTTCCTTATAAACTGAAGGAAAAGGCAGGCAGTTTCAGGAGCTATCCCCTGGGAAAGCCCTGCAAATGGTTACCTCGGGAAATACATGGTTTCTCTTAAAAAAAGATACTTTAACACAACAGAAAACTCATCTGAGTCCTGCATAGCTGACTTGAAAAGTGTGCTGGAATGTGGGGTCTGAGCTTATTGCAGTGAATAAAATAGCCTCCCAGATGAAGCTGGTAAAGTCAAATCCTTTCCAGCTTTATTGCTGGTAGTTTTCCATGCACTGTGCCTAATCACTTTTCCCAACTGTGAGTTCAGGCTTTTTAATTTTTTATTCTACCACTTTAGCTCATGAGCCCTGAGAAATACAATGTGTTTCATTAGTAAAACACCATCTAATTTGGAATCGAGCAAATCAAGACTTAATTGCAGAGATGGAGCTTCAACAAACAGTGTTTAGGCTCTCAAAGGTCCCAAAAGAAGGAACTGTTCTTTGTTGGCTTGTTCAGCAGCCTGTGCAGTGGATGTAGGCAGGGGTGCATGCCTAGGGAATTTCGAGATCACTCCTCATCTTCTCTTTCCGTTCCCTTTTGTTTGTACTGATGAGTCAGTAGGAACCAGTTTGCCTGTTGCACCTCCCTGCTGCACTTGACTTTGTCTGAAGGCACAGCTGGGAGAAAAGAGTCAAAGGAACCAACTTAGAGAGTCAAAGCTGAAGTGGGACTAAAAACCGCCACATATTACGATTTATTCCTTGCAGTGGGGGAATAATCCTTTTCTCCAGCCAAGGTGATTTATGGCAGAAGTAAAACATAATGCCTTTAATCATGCAGAGGTGACTTGAGAGTAGAGAACTTCAGAAGCACAAGCTTCCCAAGCACATGGTTTAATTTTTTTAGGGCCAAGCGGGGTGAGTGTGACCAAGTGCCATGTGTTTTATTGCACGGCAGATTGCTCTGCCCTGTCTAGCTGTCCATGAGAGCTCTGGAGCCTCCATTCCTCAGGGAAAAGCAGGTCTGTCCCGGTGCATGGCTATTCCAGATTGCTTGGTCCTTCTTCCCTGTGCCCGGAGGAGACAGAAAAGGAGAGGCTTGCCACCTTCCCTTTCCTGTGTTTATTTACAGCTTCCTTCTCTCGGACCCCTGGGAGTCTGGGATTTGCATGTTTTATCTGTGCTGGGTTTTTGACTGGGTTTAGACCCATGTGGTCCCTGGGGGGTTATTTTTAGGCGAAGCAGCTCCTGTCACACTGGCAAGTCTGTCTTTTCTTCCTGCTGACAAAAAATGTGTAGGGATCTATTTCTTTTAAAGATAGACTCAAACTGGGCTGTGTCCCTTCATGCTTCCAAGACCTTTCCCGGTCAGCAGTTAGCCCAGAAGCTCCTGCTGGGTTTTCCTCAAGGCTGTGGTCTCAGCTGTGAGTTCTTTGGTCTGGGGTTTTCCTGCCCATCTCCTGATGTTTTACATTTTGTGGGCTTATGTCTTAGACCCTGGTCCTTGTTTTGGCTGTTGTTCAACAAATAGTCGTTTATCTGCTCCCTGGTTAAACTTGCACGAAAGGGCTGGTTTCAGGAAACCCAAAAATGCTTTGTCCCTCTAATAGTAAAGCAATACCTTCCCTGTATTGGTGTTGTGACTTCCAGAAAATAGCGAATTTTTAAAGCACTTGAATGTCTTGAAAAATAACAGAAGCTACCTTTATTTTTCCCCTCTCCCATAAAGTTAAGAGAGGTTAAGCAAGCTTATAATGAAAATTACCGTATGCCACAACTTTAACTATATGGAATCATTTCTGTGGCTGCATAATGAAAGCTCACAGAAAACCCTGCAGAGAGTATGATGGCATTTCTGCAGCCACATCAGTCCCCCTCCCATCCCAACCCTCAAAACAATTGCTGGAATGTTAATTAAAAAAAGCAAAAGTCTACCCATTTTCTGGGAATTTTTCAATTTTATAGTATTAAATAAGGCACTGGACAGAAAGAGGACTCTGGAGCAGGCCTCTTGCAAGGGTGCCAGTGTGGCACGTGGGAGGCAGTGCCACAGCCTGAGGGTGAAGCAGTGCATCTTTGAATGTAAACTTGAGCCTTCTGAGCTATATAATAAGCATTACTCTGCTGCCACACTATGTATTGATTCAGTAATCATTTATCTCGCAGTAAAGTATATGCCCAAATGAAACAAAACCTATTTTCCCCTTCAATCCATTTTGCAAAATTGGTTTCAAATGACATTGGTGGGATCTCGCTCAGCTTCACCCACATCACTGACACCACAGTTCCCATAGCAATGAGTGTACCTCAGAGAGCAGACTCTTTAACAAATAAAAATTGGAGGAAAAATGAAATGTGAATGATGTGTTGGAAATTTTAGAAGTTCTAAAAGTTTTACTTTAACTCCGTTGCAATCAAGCATACACGCCCTGAGACTTTCCAGACTTCATCTTGGCTTCTGGGAGTAGAGGAAACCATCTGTGTCTGGATAGATACCATCAGGACTGTCTTTGCATGATCCATCCTTTGAGGCATTCTGAGGCATTTTGGCTGGAGCAGCCCCATTTGGCACACTTCTGATGCTGACTTTTCCAGCAGTGCTTGTCACCACTCACCCTTGATTTCAGTGTGTGCTGTGGATGAGAATTCTCCAGGTAATGAGTTCTCCAGTTGCTGAGGCATCCCAGATCCCCAATGACTTCTGTAGAACGAGATGGGCTTTGCTCCCTGACTCAAACCCAGGACAAGTAAGCCACTGAAGTGACTGCGACTTGCTAAAGATAAAGTAACTGTGAGAACAAAAAAATCCCTGCAAATACAGTCTGTTCTGCTTATTTTAGACTGTGCTGAAACAGCTTCCAGGGAATCCTGCTAGCAAGCAGCATTTGTTAGTGTGGTTAGCAAAGATCCCATTAAAGAAACACAAATGCCAAAGGTCTTGGGGCTATTTTTAGGGAAAGATGAAATCAGGAGTGTTGCCTCAAGGGCATAACCTATATCTAATGAGAGACCACGAGGCCTTTCTTTACTCTGACCTCTGATTTTAGTCCCCTCATGTTTACTGAACAAGAGCATGTCTTCTCTTCAACTGAGTCCTTCAGTCACAGTGACAGAGCAGTTAAAGCTGACACCATGTCACACAGGCCCTGTCAGCTCAGAGTCCAAGTGTGTGCCCAGATGTCTCCCCCAGCTGTGACCACAAGCAAGCATAGATGGGAGAATCTCTCTTGGTTTCTCAGCCCTTCTGATGGCTTGGACAATGTTGCTGGAGTGCTTTTCCATTTGGGAGATCAAGTTTTGCTTCATCAGGTGCATGTATGCACATTCTGAGACTTTCTGGAATTCTCCTTATACTGCTGCAAATCCTACTGCTTGTCACTGCTTTGACTTGTCAGTCTATACATCTTTGCATTAAACATTTTGGAAATGTTTCAGCATCTGCTGTTCTAACTACCTGGCGTGTCTTTTTTTCCTCCCTTGCTGCATGTGGGTGACTGCAGGGAAGGATGGGTAAGTTTCTTTTAGTATTTCACATTCTGGCTGCACTTGTGCTTTGACTCTTTTGAAAACTTCTCAAAATTGTCCAAAAATCCCCAGCTTAGAATCCAAAGTGAGCAAGTTACTGTGGCCTGACAAATGACTGCTCTCAGTTAACCAGCAAGGGCTGACCATGTGAAATTTGATTAAGAGAACATGTTTTGCCTCACAGTTGAGGGAGGGGTATGTTCGTGCTCACCTGATGTTCTGTAGCTCAAAGTCTCAGGAACTTAATAGATTTGACCATGTGCCTCTATTTTAGTACAGAAGGAATAAGGATGAAAAGTTGCACATTTTATTCCTGGACAAAGCCCCTTTCAGGCTGCAGGCTGTTCAGATAGCTGATAAATATGTAGCTGGAATGGACATGATTCGTTACCCATGAAAACCTCCTCAGTTTGTGTCCTGACTTGCTCAATTAACTGCTTTTCCTGTTAGCTAGAATAGCACCAGTGAAGATGGTGCCTGTGGGGATGTGATCCAAATCCCCTTGGAGTCAAAGGAAACATTACCAGGCTGCTCCAGGCCTCTCTTCTCCCTCCTATCTGTTGCTCGTAGTCTGCTGGTACAAAACATGGCTGACATCATTTTCAAACCCCTGTTTCTGCCATTGCAGTGAAGCAGAGCTGGTATTTGAGGAGTTTGCTCGTCAGCAGCTAAAAAATACACCTGATGAAGAGGACAAGAATTCACCCTCAACTGATGAGTGACTGAAAGAACAAGCTGCCAGAGGAGCTGCGTAGTCAGACTTGAATTAGGAATTTAGGACCTGAGTTTTTAGTAAAGTGCATGTTCTCATTGCACACGTGGTCATGCAGGGATCAGCCCTGAGATCAGTGGACACAACATCATGGATCTCTACTGCTTATTACAAGCTTCACCTTGGGAGAATGTGGCAAACACAGCCCCTGGTGCTTACTCGAGCTACCAGAGGAGGACAGGAAGGCTGCCATGTCATGACTTCTGCTTTCAGGGCTGCCTAATAAAAAGGTTGGTTGCTTTCAGCACTGGCGAGAGTTAAATGAGGGTTTGTGCAGCCTGCCTGGACTTCCTCGGTGTCAGAATCTGTGACTTTGCAGTGCCAGTGACCCAAATCCCAGCCTGGAAGGCTGGCTTGCAGCCCTGAGTGATTCACTGAAGTTTCTCAGCAGACTATACAAAACTGATTTTATTTCCTTTTGGTTGCTTTTGTGTTTATGCTTTACCACATTCATCCAGTGCATGATTTCAGTGCTTGGACTGTCCCCATGTGGATAACAACCCCTTTCTGTACCATTAAATGTTCTGCAAGTTGTCTCCCTCAGCAGATATAAGGCTGATACACAGTATTTGCTTTCTAGCATTATGCTGTACAACCACATTGTTAAAGATGAGATAGTGTGCACTGTCCAGGAATTCCTTAACAAAGCTCCCTGTATGCAACCCCAAAGAGAGAACTGCCAGTCCAGGCTGATCCTGTATTTAATAGTTTCCTGCAGGCAACACTGCTTCAAAAGAGGGTGCAGGAAAATTAAGGAGGAAATTATGAGGCAGCCTTCCCTGAGGAGCCTTTTCCAAAATGCATCTGCCAGAGGTTGGTTTATGCTCTAAGAAATGAGACTGTAAACTGTTCTCTCTTGTTGATCTGGATATTCACATTATTCATGTAACTGTCTGATCCTTTCCTGAATCTCACTTAGGTTTTAGCTGAAGTGAGTTGCATCAGCTAATTACATTTTGCATGTAAAACAACTGGTGTTTTCTTTTTCTCATTTTTGCTTTAAATCTGCTTTTCAGTGTCCCGGGTTTAAATTCTCCTGAAAAGTCTGCATGCAGGGCCTAAATTTATTAATATAAACTTATCTTTCCCACCCTACGTGCCAGAAAATGGCATTAAGAGCATCACACATATCTTAGTTACCGATGTGCTTGTAACAGAGAGGAAAACGAGGGAGACATTTTTGAGATGCATTTCTGCACAATCATTCTATATACAGGCCGTGTTTTCTGAGCAGAGGCTGGTTTGTCTTTTGTTACCGACATCATCGTGGCTACAAGCCCAACTTTTACAGGTGGTCCAAAGGTTTTAACCAAACATCTTTACATGGGGCCTCCAGCACAAAGAGTTTGGGTTAAAAGTAAACCCTTCTCCTGTTTTGCTTCTGTAAGCTGCTCTTGCTGGAAGCAGGGAATGAAGACCGCGGCTGTCCTCAGGGTTCCATCAGTGCTCTCCCTGATCCCCCTGTCCCTGGCTGAGTTCAGGGTTCCTGGTACACCTGTCCCCCAGTGTGTCTGTTATCACAGCTGGCTCACAGTAGCTGAAATTGCAGGAGGCAATGGTTTGCTCTGCTCTTTCTGAGCACTGAGTGCTTTGCTGCTAAAGAAACCTGTGGCCATTTCAGGTGTTTGTGGTCAGTATGATTTTGGTGTGATTTCAGCTTTGGGTTTGGGGGACGGTCAGGCATTTGCACCTGGATGTCTGGGGAGGCTTTTCCCCAATATCTTTATTACTGATTTCTTGGTGGCTCGAAAAGAACACACAGAAGACACAGTAAGGTTGAACAAATTGCTGGTTGTGAATATGGTGGTCTCAGAGAGCTGGTGTTCAGAAAATCCTTTGGAAATGCTAAGAGAAGGAGGGGGAACAGTCTTCCAGTTTTGCTTCAAACTGCAGCTTCCTCCACAGAGGTGATTCCTTCAGTGTTCCCGGCTACTGGACCTGTAAGTACAGGACTAGCAAACTCAGAGATCTGATTAATTTTCTTTCTTTTTCTTTTTTTTTTTTCTTCTTATATGTCAGCCTTGTGAGGGGCCTCTGTCACTACCTGACTTTTATCTCAAATTCAGCTGTGGTGGTGACTTCTGTAAGCTAAGTGTGACAAAATCACAGTGCACTCTGCTGTGCAATGGGGTGGAGTCAAAATGATTATTAAATCTGTTCTTTTGCCTGGGCTGGGGAAAGCACTTTCTGACACTGTCTAGCTCATGCTGGACATTTGCTCAGAGAGCAATGAGGCTTTCTGCTGGTTTCTGCAGCTCCCTGTCCTGTGGGACAAGCTGGACTTCTGTTCTCCTGCCCTTCAGCCAGCAGATGCTGACTTCTGTCAGCAGAAAAAGGTCTCTAGGTGGAACTGTTTTCCTTTTATCTTCCATTTCTTCTGGTTGTGGTGTTATGTTGATCTTCTGCCGAGTCGGACCTGCTGCTCCTTTGCACAGCTGGGGGAGCAATCCAATTTCTTGATTCCGTTTGTAGGGAGCCTGCCAGCTCCAGGAGCGGGATGAGCTCTGGGAGCCGTGGCATCCCTGGAACCGCCGTGTTTGAACACAGCTTGTATCAAACACGGCACGGGACGGGTTTGGTGCCATGTGCCTTCCCCACGTGCAATTCTATGAGATCCCAGCTGGAACACGGGGCCCGTGGGGAACGGAGGGGGTGCCGCTGCCCCCAAAGTGCCTTCTGGGCAGGGGGGCGGCTCGGCAGGTCGAGCCTGGGGAGGAGGGTGTACCCCCAGGACGTTGTTAAATCCTGGGAACAAGGGCAGTGCTTTGGAAGGGGCTGTCCGGGGAGGTGGTGGAGTCACCGTCCCTGGAAGTGTCCAGGGAACGACTGGACGTGGCACTCAGTGCTCTGGGCTGGGTGACAAGGTGGGGAGCGGTCACAGGTTGTACTCGGCGATCTCAGAGGTCTCATCCAACCTGGAATAGTTCTGTGATTCTGTGCTGGAGCAGCCACAGGAATGGGGACCGAGGTCCGAGCTGCCGGGCTCCGCCGCAGCAGGGCGGGCTGCGCTGAGCGCCTTTGCGCTGGCCCCGGGGAGCCACGGGGGTGCTGGGACCTGCCGGGGGTGCGAGCGGTGCTCGGGCGGTTCTCGGGGGGCCGCGGAGGGGCAGCGGGGCCGAGCCCGGTGCGAGGGGTACCCGGGCTGTTCGCGGGCGGCCGAGCCCGTCCCGTGAGGGCGGCCGGGCCCCCCGTCCCCCCCGCCGCCGGCAGGGGGCGCTGTGGCGGCGGGCGGGCGGTGCAGTGCGCGCGGCGGGCGGGGGGGGCGCGGGTCGCGCCGCCGGTCCTGCAGCATGGCGGCGGCGGGGGCCGGGGCTGCGCAGCCCCAGCCCGGGACGGGCGCCGCCGCCAGCGCCGCGCCCGAGGAGTCGTCGGACAGCGAGCCGGAGCAGGAGCCCGGCTCCCCGCAGAAGCTCATCCGCAAAGTCTCGACGTCCGGGCAGATCCGCCAGAAGGTGCGTGCGGCGGGTGGGGGCCGCGGGCAGGGCCTCGGGCTCCCGGCAACGCTGCGGCCGGTGCTGCCTCCGCGTCTCGCTCGGTGCCGCCGCCTCCCCGTCCCTCCCGGCACGGTCCGCGCTGCCGCCATCCCGGGCCGCCGCTCTGGGAGTCGCCAGAGCCGTCCCCCAAGCCTCCCCCTGCGGTCCGCCACGGAACCCCTCGAGCCCGTCCCTCAGGGAGCTGCCGCCGATCTCCCCCACACCCCGCTCCTCTCCTCCCACAACGACCCCTCAGGGGCTTGCCGGCGGCCACCTCACACCCCTTAAACCGCCCCTCAGGGATCTGCCGCTGACTCCCCCAAACCGCCCCTCGGGGACCTGCCAGCGGCCGCCTCACATTCCCCCAAACCGCCCCTCAGGGGCTCGGCCATTTCCCCCTCACCCCTTGCTGGGAAGGTCTTTAATTGTAAAGGGGTTGTGTTAAAGGGTTTTATTTATTCCTACGTTTTCGGTGACACCCCCAGCCGCCCCTCAGGGACCTGCCGGCGACCCCCAGCCCACACCTCAGAGACCCCCTGAAAACAGCCCCCACACTTTCCATGGACTTGCGGACCCCAAAATGCCTCGTAGGGATCCTCATAACGAACTCTTTCTCAAGTGCTCGTTAACAGCTGCCCCCTAAATGCCCTTCAGCATCTGTCAGTGCCCCCCAGACTGCCCTCAGGGGCTCCTGCAATTGCCCCCGACCACCTGGCTGGTTGCCATCCCCAGAGTGCCTCTCTGAGCCTCCCCAGTTCCCCTGCCCAGTAGCCCAGCTTAGGCCACGCTCTTCCCAGTGCCCAGGTTCAGACCTGCCCTGGAGCTTTTCTATTCCGACAGTGATCAGTGTGCCCAGGCTCAGCAGGATGCTGCCTTACCTCTTTCCTTCCTTACTCTCTTCTCCTGTAATATTTTCTTGGAGCCATAGAAGTCAGATTTGGGCTCCCTAGTGCTGCACCATGGTATGAACTCTTGACGACATCCTGTCTCTTCCCACACCATGAGGCTGCATCTCCCCTTTTCTCCCCATGTCCCAGTTGCCAGGGGCTCCCTCCTCACCTTCCTGAGAACCCCTGCACATCCAAGCCATGGCTTCCCATCACATTGTGCCATTATCACTTTCCAACACCCCACTCCTGTGGTCCCGTTGGACTTGGCATTAGCCACTGGCTCATAGTCAGAGCTCTGCTCTGGAAGGTGCAGCCCTTGCTGTAATTCCCTACAATCAGTGCGTTCTTCCCTCAACATCTTCCCATCCTTTTTGTGGTTGCAGCCCAATTTTCCGCATCTTATACTGTGCTTTTACCTTTCTGTAGCCATGTAGTGATGCTTAGCTTTCTGTCTGGTCAAACAGGGATCTTAGAGCTGGTTAGTCTTTGTTCCCAGCTTTTTCTGTCCTGCTTTGCCTTCCGGGTAAGGTAACAGTCCTTTCCGCCGGGATTCCTTTGGCCCAGTCATATTTTACCCCTCTGTTTCTTGTTCTGGAACGATAACACCATTTTTAGGGGCAGTACCAGCATTCTGCAACTACAACCACAGCTGTAGTTCCTCTGTATTGTTACTGTAAGAGAAGATGCGAAGATTTCCTTCAGCCTTAGGCTGGGAACCACCCATAGGGAGTTTCCCTTTTCTGTACTATTTTTATTATAGCAGCATGATTTTTCTCTGTAGCCATTAAGCTCCTGTGTAACTCTTGGACTGTTATGCGATGTGTTTCTGCTTGGAAGTACAAGGTTAGTTCCTGTGCCATCACGTGCCTTGTGATCACCTTGTCTCTGCAGCGTGGGCAGGCGCGGTGCAGCTGTGGGGATGCAAAGGCTCGCTCGGCGCCGGTGCTGCAGCTCAGTGTTGCTTCTCTGGTATTCGTGGCAAAGGAGAGTAAATGTGTCTGCATGATGCAGTATCTGAAGCATTATTCAGAGGGATCTTTTTCCTGGTGGCTGGTTTGCCCTGCTTTCAGACACAGAGCCTGTCATAGTTTTACTGCTCATTGTTGTTTTGCCACACGGGTCCTGGTTCTGCAGCCCCCCTGACAAAGCGTGGCCGTAGGTGGGGACACGGCAGGGCTGCTGCCCTGTCTGCAGCGTGCTGCTGGCACTGCCACTGGCTTCTTGGGGCGAGGCACTGCAGGTCTGGGCTGTGAGATTGTTCTTTTGGCCACCCTAGGAAACCCTGGAGCCCTCTAAACTGGTTGATGTTCTATATCAAGCAGATTTCAGCTGTACTGTAGCACCAGGTGACCTGAACCAGTCTGTTCTTCCGCTGAGAAAAAAGATAAGACTTTTGACATCTTTTCCTGCATGCAGAGTGCCGAATATTAAGAATTTGTCTTGCTGGAGATCGGATGAACCTTGTGATTCTTAACACCCCTTGTGGCAGGGGTCTCGTGGAAAGGGAGGAAGGATGCTCTAGTCTGTCTACATGGTGGTATTTGTGATGAG